TTTGTTTTCGAAAAAAATAGATTTTAATGCGTGGAATGTGTTTTGGTCAGGAAGTACAAAAAATAACATTGTTCTGAGCTGTCTACTTGTTTTTTTCTCTCAGCAAACGTTGAAAAACTGCTAAATGAGTGCTGTAGTCTCTGGTTTTGCATCATTAAGTCATTCAAACTTTTACTTTTGATTTTTTTTTCTTTGTTTTGCTTAATTTAGTGCTGGCATGACCCGGGTGTTTAAAAGAGAAAAGCTCATTCTGTTAAGGTCATGTCATGTTTGAGTTCATTAATCACTTCTTATCAGGTTCAACTGGTGAAATGGAGTTTATTTTGTGTTTCAGGAGAAGCCATTGCAACAGCGTTTTCAGTACAGGCCTTATATGTCAACTAGCAAGCTGTACCCTCCCGACTCCCAGTCTAACCCAAAATATCACCGTGTACTGGAAACATTTTAGAGCAAATCAGTGGTTGTGCTTCAGGGTCATTGGAGTGTCACAAAAAGTCAACGGCCATCGGAACCCAATGGCTGCCTTTTATGAGATGAGTCCGAAATATACTTCTATTTCACATCTGTAATGTTAAGGGTACTGTTTATATAACCTGTTTTTTTAAAGTGCCAATTAATTAAAAGGAGACCATTAAGGTGCATTTTGGGGTGGGGAAGGGGAACGGTACATTAAGAGCATTAAAGGAATATTTTGTGGATTAGAGGGCGGGGTGGTAAAATGGAACCAAATCTTTTTCACTAACACTGTATTAATAATTGATAATGTTAGTTGTTTAGAACAAGTTTTCAGTTTGTTATCTTTAAGAACTAAAACTGCAAAATGTTGTGCGTAGAGAACTCAGTCAAGCCACAGTGTTTTGAAGCAAGCATTCTTAGGCATTCTTTTCTTATATTAGGCTACAGTATGGCTATTGGATGACAAATAGGACACAGACATTTAAAAGGTTTTATTTAGTATAAATGAAAGAGACATTATAAAAATGTATATTTTACATGTTGATGCTATTTTTGTTTAACAGAAAGAAAAGAGTATATCATGATGAGCTTTAGTGTTGAGTTTAGCAGTCACATTACTGCATTTGGGTTTCCCTTGTTCTGCCAATGGTCAACATAAACACATAAACAAACACAAACTCTGCTTTTCTCATGTCATCCTGAGTTCATTTTATTATTTGCTGGCTAAATAACAAAAAGTGGCAAGTTTATTAAAAAGAAAGCATGCACAAACTTGCTCTTGCGCTATCTGTTAACATTTTTAATTTCATACATAGAACTACAGGATTTACTTGATAATTTTCAAAAATTTATGATGTACAGTATTTAATATAGGCCTATTTTGTTGTATGTGTTGCATATTATTCAAAAACTGAACAAACTGGGGCCTCTGTTACAAGTGGCAAAGCTTTCTGTGTATAATTTGTCTAATAAACAGGTTTTCTACAGTGGGATGGTATTTGTTGTTTTTTGCTAATCTAGAAAACCACATATGAAAGATGGTACATATCAGAAATATGATGCACTTTATCCCCAATTTGGGAATAATTACTGTTCATGATTCTGTGTAATCCAACCCTCTAAAATGTTTTCCCTCATGCAAAATTTATTTTGTCTTTTCTCTGTTTACTCCAAACATCTGTAAATTCCCTTAAAGATAAATGCATCTCACGAATGACCAACCAGTTTCGCACTTAACACAGCACATGGCATTTTCTTTTGTGGCAAAATAATCTAAACAAAAATACTATGAAAAGCTCCTTTTCCAGGCAAAGTCTTCTTCTTCTCTCCTCAATGTTCTTTTTCAGTGTATTGGCCCGTCTCCTTCCTTTCCACTAGAAGTGGTTGCTAATTCTGTATAATTCACATCTTGCTGGTAAGTTGACCCAGATACTGGTAAGATGTCATGCTTTTATCAAGACAGAGTGGTAATATGTATTCTCTCCCTCACTCTCTTTTTTAATTTTCAAAGAGCTAATTAATCCAGAACAAATAGCCTATACAAGTACAATTGATTGATGCAGGCAGTGTGTGTCATTTGATAATGGATGAAAAAAACATTGGCTGAACATAAATGCCAATAATAATATTTATAAAGGGGTTTGGGTGATCTGAGATGATTTTATGTGTGGAATAGATTTTAAGTTCAAGCATGAGCTAAGCTTTTGTGTCTTTCACTTCAAAGGCCTGTATACTGCTGTTAACAGCTGGATAGACACACTACTGAGGACAACTGCTGTCAAGTTCAATGGAGCACTACATTGTAGTTCTCCATTTTAACCAGAGAATGGCACTGTTTAGTTCCCCCAATTGTCAAAGATCTCTCCATCTCTTGTTCAGATCTGACTCAGTTTTGTGCTTTATAACAAGATGAATGGCAGACTTCAAATTATTGAAAATGATTGGAATAAATATATGTATTTATGTTTATCATGGTGATTTGAATTCCACGGGATACACGTAAGAAACTTTCTTATTAGGTTTAGAGTACAAGCCAGATATCAAAGACAGCATCTCCATGTAGCATTAGCCCTTCTCTTTATTATTTACATTCATATTTCTACCTCCCTTTTGTTTGAAGGTTTACCTACATTGAAAACACTCTGAGAGTTTAAGGATCAAATAACTGTTGTGTGTAAACTGTTTTTTTAGTAGTGAAGGAACTATCTAGAGCTTTTACCTCAGTAATGCAACAATTTAGAAATGCTCTATTATAAGTAAAAGTCCGGCATTTATAATTTTGCATAAGTAGAAGTAGAGAAGTAGGAGCAACATGTACTTTAAGTATCAAAAAAGTGTTATACTGTATTGGATTAGTACCTATTAATGTTTGACTTTAATATATGTCTATAAATCTATAATAATCCATCATCCCTTGTAAGATCATTTTATATTTTGAATGTAAAACGTTGATCTTTTCAGTCAGCTGTCACTAAAGCAATCAAATGATGTAGTGGAGTAAAAATGGGAACATAACATAGTCCTATCTATTGCCTATTTAATATTTCTATGTGATGAGTTACATCGCTGTCTAAAACAAATGACCCTTCAGTAATTTTTTTATTTACCAAAAACAACAGACCATCGGGGACTGGAGGAATTTTGGAAAGTCTACAGTTAAGTTTTGAAAACCCCTTGCTCCAGTCTCGTGCCCGTCACGCCCCGGTCTCCCAGGAGATGAGAATGAGAAGCGGCAGCACGCAGACTCCTCTCGCGCGCTGGAATGGGAGCCCCCACCCCATCTCTCCCTTGAGGAGCCCCCCAGGCGTGACCAATGGAACATAGAGTCTCCATTGTGGCTGCGACACTTTAATAATCGCCAGCTACAATATCCAACCTGTCGGTAGCTTCAGGAGCCCGGCCCGACCCGTTGGATGGGGGGCTTGTAGGTGGGAAGAGGGGGCGAACGCTCGGCGCCAGACCTCTAGCCCGCAAGACGTCCCCATGATGAATACATGAATAAAAAATAGAAAAGATTGATGTCGGGTTATCTCTGAAATTATGGGATTTCTTCCCACAATGCCCATGCTCGCCTAGTTTTAAGGGGTTTGACTACTTCAGAGTGTGGACCAAAACTCATATTTATAACCATTATTAACATTATAGTTTTCATGTCAAAGTTGATGTTGAATTAATTAACAGGGTCGTAATGTCGTTTTCGTTGGCCTGAGTAACTTATTTAATGCTGCCGATATAAGAGGGACTTGTTAGGGATAGTAACAGGTAGGCTAACCTTGTAGCCCTTTGATCACTGTGCCTCATACATTGGACTACTGTATTTAACACTAGCTGAAGCTGTGTGTCCTTCTTATCCTAAATCGACCACTGCAATTAGGTTTAATAGCCAATTTCCACCCAGCAATTAGCCCATTGTTTATTTGCCAGCTTCGGCCTAAAGTTTGCATCTCAGTAAGCATGGTTGCTTTGATCAATAGACTGCAAGTGGTTCCCTAAATAGCTATAATTTGTCCAAAGTTTATTTTTCCTGCATGCCTGACGATGCAGACTCTTTTCTTTTCACTCCTGTTCACAGTTCTTCTTAAAATACCCGACGATGCAACATCCAATTCCCCGTGAATATTAGAAATAAAATCAGTTGTATTATCACAGCTTAAGTGCCCATCGGGTTCTGTCTGTGTGTATTTGTGTGTGTGTGTGTGTGTGTGTGTGTGTGTGTGTGTGTGTGTGTGTGTGTGTGTGTGTGTGTGTGTGTGTGTGTGTGTGTAGGCTACTTTCTCCCTAATGCTCCCAGTTGCCACATACAGCTCACGTCAGTATGGAAACAGCGTTGAGCGCGAGACCCCTGCTCATGTTTCCGTTCCCTGTGAAGCCCTTTTTACCGGCAGGGCGTTCCGAGAGCTGGATCAAAAGGTTTTAGACGCGCTACAAAAGAAAAATGGAAACTGGAGATGATCTTAGAATGAATGAATTGACAATGAGCGCGCGAGCCCCAGGATCAGCAATATTTTTTTTGGCATCTTTTTTTTTTGTTGTTTTTTTCAGATGACTTTTGGTCAAGTTTTAGGTCCAAATCGTTATTTTTTTTTTTTGTCAGGCTTTTGGCCCTCAGCTTTCTTAATTTCTACAACTTCTATCCTTCTGTTTGTGTCACTGTTGGGTGATAAAAATGCAGTTATTCTCTGTATGAAAAAAATGGTTTATAGTGCTTGTGTTGAGATGAAGCCTCATACTTTAAGTTGTTCTGGGGAAAATTCTTGTCTTTTAGTAGTCCTTCCTAATATGTGATGCACCGTAGTCTGTGCTGACTTGAACTTTGGAGCTATACAATGGGATACAAACTTAAATGCAGCGTTTCCATCGAGGATAACAGCGCACAGGACACCGCTTAGACAGTTGAAGATGGCAAATGAACCCTTCTCAGCTCCCTCTCTTTCCTTCCCCCTCCCTCTGTCATGCCTGAGATACAGACACACGGACAGGTAGGAATTCTGTCCCAGCTGCGAACGTCTCGCGCCGTCCTAAAACCGTCACCTCCCCGTGCACGTGCGTCCTGTGGGAGGTTCCCCTTACCTCCCTTGCGTTAAACACTCCTCAAATTGTAACGTTATCATAAACAGTCCGGCTTCAGGGGGGCATAATCACCTCTCTCGGGCTTTACGGCGACTTCTCATTGGACGTCAACACGCGACCATCGCGAGGAGGGGGGCTCCCAGACGCGTGCCGCTTTTTAAACCGACGCCGCGCCTTGAGACACCAGAGAAGGAGTCCCGCACGCGACAGTCATATTCACACAGCGCGAGAGCATAGCAGTGCGTGCCTCCAAGAACTTTTTCTAATATTGTTAGTCGGTTTTAACTTTACCTACCTTTTGGGTTTTTTTTGTGGAAACATGGATGTCCGAAGTGTGGAAGACTGGAGCAAAGGCGCACGCGAGGTGGCACTCCTCGACTCGCGGCAGAGGAGTCCCAGAGTGGTGGAGAGGGGAGGGGAGCGGCAGCTCGAGGAGTCCCGCTACGAACCTGGACTGACGCTCGTGGACAGCGGCAGTGACCCACGCGCCTGGCTGGCTCTGGTGCAGCCTTCTGGCACCTGCGCGGCACACGCCACTTCACCCGACTACCTGCTGCACTCGCCCTGCCCGAGCACCGGCTCCTTTCACGGTGAGACACGCCGCTTAGACATTCGGCATTTTGGACAAGATTTCAATGCAACATCACATGCAACAGGCAACTGGGATTTATACGGGCACTAAAGGTCTCAAATAGACACAACTGATGAGTCCAAAGTTTAGTTTGTACAATTAAAACATTGTTATACTCTATTAACTAAAACAGTCACAAGAGCAGGCTATATGAGTGTATTATTAGTTGTTGTCAAACTTGACCAGTTCAGTAAATTTTTTGTTTTCATTTTTCAGAGAGTGGCTCCCCGGAGTCCTTGGACCACCCCAGCCCTCCCAGCTACAGAAAAACTGCCAAGAGCCCCTCCTCTTCTTCGCTCAAAGTCAGGGACCTGTGCCGTCTTAAAGGCGCGGTCTCCGGGTCCGAGGAGGACGCATCCTCGAGACAGAGAGCCCCGTCCAGCAGACCGGCCAACGGGGTCCAGAAGCAGAGGCGCGTGGCCGCCAACGCGCGTGAGAGGAGGCGGATGCACGGGCTTAACCACGCGTTTGACGAGCTGCGCAGCGTCATCCCGGCGTTTGACAACGACAAGAAGCTCTCCAAATATGAAACTCTACAGATGGCGCAGATTTACATCAACGCTCTTGCTGATCTGCTGGAAGGTCCGGTGTCCTCCAACAACAGCAAAAACGACGTCGCAAACAATACCAACAACTCGCCAAAGTGTGACGTTATGCTTTCACCCACCGTTAGCTTTGACGGGGCAAAGGACAGGGCTTCCCCGTCCCCGACAACCTGTAGGACAGCAGGGGCTGTGTCCGTCTCAGGTAGCAGCTTACCTGTGCACATCAGCGGGATGCCCTTCCGCTCCTCCTTCGACGACGCTTCCTTTTCCGCCATGGTTGAAGAAGCGATGTGTTCGCCCTCTCCTACGTCCTCCACTCGGGCAGTCACGTCGCTCGCACCTGTCGGAGGTGGGAGGAAGGAGTCTCCCCGGAGCGACGGAGAGTTTTCCCCGCACTCCCACTTTAGTGACTCGGATGAAATAGCGATGGAGCTCCACTCAAGTGAAGAAGACGACCTTTCAGAACTCAAGCTTCGCCACCGTCACCACACAGTTTCCTTCTGAATGATTCAAAATAAAAGTAACAGACTCTATTAAAGGTTCACTATAGCCTACAACAACAAAAAAATGTCCGTAAATCGTGTCAATCATAGTCTGTCTGTTGCTAACAAAATGCATTTTTAAGAGGATAGAAATTTTTGCTTCTTCAAAAAAGTCATGTTCGATTTTTACAATAATTCTATTTTATCAACTTGTTACATAGTCTAAAGATTATTTTTATGTGAGATAGGCCTAATTCGGTTTTGCCAATAGATGTATAGCCTATAATTTCCAGTTTCCATGGAGACGTGGCTGGAAGACCCCTCTGCCATGTTGCGCGCAGCACTGCCATGGGTATCTCCCACGTCACTCCGACCAAAAAGCTGTCTTCCACAAAATCATAACTTTATGGATAATTGCTTATATTTGATAATGTAAAAAAAACACAATTTTTTGGTAGTTATAATATGATTTTTTGTTGTGATTTATGTTTTTATTCGTTAATTTGTATGTATAATGTATTTTGTTTTGCAACTTCAAAAGTTCATGATGTGCACTTTAAAATTATACGAGCCAGAGGCTTGAGAAATGCGACTTTTGTTTTCAAACCAATAAACAATATTGTTTTGCTTTGTTTGCTAGTGTAGTGCTGCCAATTCCATACAAATAGCCTATTTAATGTAGCCATCATTGCTGCCTTCTTTTGTATTTTCTTTTGTATCTTCAGATGAACTTGTGTGTCTTTTGCTTTCACTGGATGAGATTAATTGACATGTATTTATTACTGATATTTTTCATTTGATTTGCTTTTTATAACTCCATAGTTAAATTTGGTCAAAAAAGCTATCATTATGCCATTTATTGTTATGTTAATTTGATTTTGGGAATAAAAAAGCAAACGGAAATATAATGTTTCTTTGTCTCTCTTGTTTCCACGCACCTTACTTAGATAACTGCAATAAACTCTTTTTATCAACCGTTGTTTTTAAAATAAAATGTGACTGTAGCCTATATTCAGGCCTACACCTAAATCTTTTCCCAACATAATAATAGTAATAATAATAATAATAATAATAATAATAATACTTTTTTGATGGTTAGGTCTATTAGCGACCAATAAAATACTACTACTACTAATAATAATAATAATAATAATAATAACAAAGAGAGTTTTTGCATTTATAAGAAATAATAATTAATTTGAATATTGTATTATCCAAATCTAGAAATAGCCTATATTGCATATAACGAAATTTACATCTACAGTACCATATCCTTTCATGAATTATATATATTATATATCATTATATATATTATATTATATTTTTTAAACGTAGTCTAAGTCACAGTAAATAAAGAGGGCCTTATTGAGTTTGGGATTTGGAGGATAATAAAGTGCAAATAAAAGTTTTTCACGACCAAAGTGATGTGGGCAGGATATCTGTACTTCAAACTGCATGCGCAGGTATTTCAATTTAATTAAAGACACGTTCAACACTAGATCTCCTCTTATGTAATTTATTGTAAACTAAAAGCGACGTGAAACGTGTCCAACACGCGCTCGCTGGCCATATGCTGCAGGTGCACGCGCTCCCTGGCCTTGTGATTGAGTGCTCCAAACTTTGCGTTTGACGCAGGGAAACTGCGTTAAATTATCACAAAGTTGCTTTCTCGCAACAACCTTCCCTCCACTCGGCGAAAAGTTCTTTTTTCTCCTCCTGAACTGTTGCCATGTCGTCCATTTGGTGAATACCAGATTTGGTAATGGGGAGTGTGCATTAATTTCAGGCTATTGTTGGCAGGCTCGTGGGCCGAGGTGTTGGATGGCCTCAATGAAGCACGCGCTGTCAGCTGGTGAGCGCTCGCGGGTCCCCACCGTGTCCCCGAGGACCTGACTCGAGAGGGAACACACTTTCCCAACTAAAGAAAAGGCCTGCACACAAACACACACATACACACACACACACGTCGGTACACCTCCTCCTCTCTACTTCTTTCTTTCTCCTTTCTTTCTCTTTCTCCATCAACTCAAGCAAACACGCGCGTGTGGACGCACGCACACGCGCGCGCGCGCACTGGCTCTGGCAACCTGTCCTGCTGCGACTCAAGCTGAAGTTTGTTTTTTTTTTCCTCTTCCTCTTCCTCTTTCTCCAACTTATTTGCGACTCATCTGCGATGTTTCACAAGCTTTGAGGTCGACGGGGTGTGGTACGTTAAAAGCAAAATACGAAATTATTTATGAAAGTGAACTACCTGTTTGCTACCTGTCACTGCTCTGTCTCCCACCCACGGGCTTCAGCCAATCACAACCGTGGCCCTTTGCTCGCCTCTTGAAGGCATGGAATAAAGGGAAATATAATGAGGATGCTGTGATAAATTATTAACAGAATTTATGCAGGTAGAACTGTATCTGAGTATGATCAGACAGCCATCTGCAGCGAGTTCGTGTTGCGGTGAAAGAAGATCAAGTTTCCGTAAACATTTGAAAGTCATACTGTAGAAAACAGCAAAATGACTGGATTTTGTTGTGAAATGCAAAGTAAACCATCACGATTCCGCGTATTATTTTTAAATAATTAAATTGGATAAGGTCTACTGAAATATACTTTTCTGTAATCAGGTCCGAACAATAATTTAAACTTCCCTTTATTGCCCCTGGTATTAACCACAGGTTAAACACAAATATGCATGCGTTCTGAACGAGGACCACATTTCTGTGTGGGTGTGTTATTATTTTTAAGAATTCACTTGTACCATGCAAATAAGCAAACCACCAAATGTGAATAACGAGGAAATCCACTCCAATCACTTTTAGACGAGTTTGCATACATTTGCGTTTGCGTTCATGGTTCACCGCAATAAAAACATGTGGTGCAACTTCTGATAATCCTAATCTCCAGCTTTATATCTAGAGCTAGTTCGTGTAATGGTTATTTTAGAAGGCTCAATAGGATACTTTAATGTTTTAGCATGTTGTCATAATAAACACCAACCGGCTTTATTTCTTTATTGTGGTACCTATTGGAAGTAGGAGGGGGGGGGACCTAACTTCAACAGGTGGGATGCTGGCCAGGTTGAGGTTTCACTGTTTCACGCACATTAATTATTTACACATGGACGTTGAAATAAAAAAAAATAACAACAGAGTGGTGGAGTTATATTGAGAACCTGAGACCCGCTGATGCGTGTGGATGCTTTTGTGGGTAAAAGAGGAAAACAAAGGAAAATGTACCTTTTTGCACATTGTCCCCAGTCTCACAACTGTTTCCTTGTTGTCTTTTGACAGACTTGTTTGTTTTCAAGGAAAGTTTTTTAATGCCATAAATCGACTTTATAACTGTCTGTATGTTCCAGCTCTTGCCTTACCTTCCTCTAACACACATTAACAGCTTTAGAAGAGCACATTTTCTTAACCATCACATGTCATGATGCCATAAACAACAAGTGGCAGAAGCTCCTAAGTATCAAGAGGAATTTTCTGTTGTGACAAATAACATAATATCATGCGAAGTAAATGCAAATGTGCAAACTTAAACTGTACTGACACCATGTTCTATAAGTAGAGTGCTCAAAACCAGTAGGCAGCACTAGAGGAACTAAAATAACTAACATTATTCTGCAGTAGATTTTACAAAAAAAGCTCCAGCGCAGTCGGGACAATCTTAAGAGGTGCGTTCAATATGTTTTAAGCCTCTGTAGTCATGCTCATTTCAATAAATATATTCAGAATGTGTGCATTCCACAGCTTCCCTTTTTAATGAAAAGAAAGGCGCTTGCATTTTGTATGAGATATGGGGAGCCGAGCTGTGTGCTGTCCAAAAAGCCACGGGTCTCTCTGGGGACCCAGAACAAAAGGCAGAACTGGGCCATAGTCTCCATCTGCTGTCCCAGAGAGAGAGAGAGTGGGAGAGGGTGGCGAGTGAGGACACCATGGGCAGATAGAGACAGAATAATAAGTGAGAGGGAGGGAAAAAGAGAGCAGAAACAACAGCAACGGGGGGACATGATGGGTAGTTACAGAGAGTGAGAGTAAGCGATAGATAGATAGATAGATAGATAGATAGATAGATAGATAGATAGATAGATAGATAGATAGATAGATAGATAGATAGATAGATAGATAGATAGATTGTTTGATCTTTCCCTTAAATTGCCCTAAAGCCTTCACAATTAGCCACCAGAGCAGCCCTGTATTATAATGTACTGTAGCGTAACCTAATGATCACACAAACACACACAATGCAGCTGTGATGCAATGAGCACCTGTTGCATTGCATGCTCCAACTCAGTGATGCTGTTAATTGTTAATGTGCTTCCTTGGTAGTGCTGTGACACACTCACATTGTAGAATATTTATCTGCAAAGTTATGTTTTGTGAAACGTTGTTCTGAAGAAATTACTGAAAGCAAGAGTCATATAGATAATAACAGCAACATGTATGCATTTGACTGTGACAGACATTGAGACTCTGCATGTATTTGGTTATCCTCTTTGTGATTGTTATCAGTCTGTTTATATAATGTGTTTGAGTAACCAATAATTAATTCATTTTAAACTGTATTGTTCTGTAAAAGACATTTGGTTTGCTGACAGATTGCATTAGAACACACATCATCAGTAGAGACAAAAAACAAAAAATAGTTAAGTTTATTAGTTTATCTAAAGCAGTACCCAGAGGCAATTAGCTCAAACTGACCTTTTTAGCTAAGGAGGTGATCAAGACACACAACTAAGTTGTTCCCAGCTCAAACTATGTCATTATAATAACTCATCAGACCATTTACTCTATTACAATATGTTTTTTCATTCACAGAATTCAACACAAGGAAAAACTGAGGAGGGGAAAAGGATACTCTGGACTGAGTGGATAAAGTTTGTTTTAAAGATCCCCTCTAGACATGTATACAAATAGTCTGCATAGAACAATAATGTGTGTCTGATAAGTTACTTCTGCAAAAAAGTTTAATTTCCATATTCAAATCCATCCTTTTACCTCATTAGAAATTAAAGAATCTATGAATATATAAATCTTTACTTCACTGTAAACTCTATACTCAGTGTATGTGCACTAGTGGCTTCAAGTTTCTACATCACATCGCATAATTTGCGAATGGGACCAGCACTGACATCCAAATTATTTGTGATGTCACAAATCATGCTTGTAAGCCCCGCCCCTTAAAAATCTAATTTTTAATGAGCACATGAGTTTCCACTTTCAGCAGGTAAATGTGTAAACATCCTTCTCTTGTCAAACTCTGCACAAACATCATTCTGCACAGAGAACCTCAAACATCCAACTGTAGGAACAAGAAGAAAAAGACATTTTTCAGTGCAGGGGGGCTTTAAATAAAATGAATATACAGTATTTTATATATAGTAGTTTTCTTATGTTTTGTGTAAGAGACTATTTAAGAGTAGGTTCCTAAATTGTCATTTATTATGACCATTCTGGTGCAAAGAGCAAGTAAAGTACTGCAGGCTAAAAATATCAAGTGCCTATACAACATCCAAAAACATAAGTTTGCATAATGCCACTAAGTCCTCTGCAAAATGAGTACACGCAAATCTAAAATGCATTTACATATAATATCTGACAGATACAGTGAAATTTTCTTTGCCACACTGACACTTTTTTCCTTATTTTGAAAGATTCCCAAATCTGTGGGCTTTTCATCATCTAAATAGGAGGTGTTAAACTATTTTGACAAAATACATCCTGTGGTTTCTCTGATGACAAGCGGCCCATCCCTTAAAGCATGTCCACCTGCACATACACACGCTGACACTGTCACACACACAGTATATACACACTGTCACAAGGAAGAAGATCATTTATCTCTGCAGTTCTCTCCATGAAAGACGTCTATGGGTGAAGCAGGGTCTCCCAGGGCTTTGTTCT